CTTTTTGTTGTGCTCATATTTAGACGTCCTATTTTGCAAATGCTGCCTTCCTAAAATTTGGTATGCTTGTTTGTCTTTGTGTCTATGGTGTATAATGATGTGATTGTGATGCTTTATTTCTGAGTGTTTTATGTACTGCAGAACAGGAACCTGCTGTAAAACAGCAACTATGCTGAGTCAGGCTTGATTTTTAATAATCTTTTCCTGTTAAATCAATAAATCAAATCAAATCAGAATCTGACCTTCTCCAGCACATCTCAAAGATTCACAACGGGGTTAAGGTCTGGACTCTGTGGAGCCAATCCATGTGTGAAAATGATGTCTTATGCTCCCTGAGCTACTCTTTGACAATTCCAGCCCCATGAATCCCGGCATTGTCATCTTGGAATATGGGCGTGCCATCAGGGCAGAAACAACCCATTGATGGAATAACCTGCTCATTCAGTATATTCAGGTAATCAGCTGACCTCATTGTTTGAGCAGACTGTGGCTGAACCTAGACCTGACCAGCTGCAGCAACCACACATCATACATAGACCTTTGTTAAATCCAGGGGGAGGCAGTGTTTATTCCCGGTAAGTTTGTTATATTTTTGTCCATTTAATTTGTAATTTCCTGCATCCAGAATCCATTTTTAATCAGAGTAGAGAATTACACACAGTGGACGTATTTGCATCGATTTAACATATTTAAATGGTATAATGTAAGGATGTGGGTGGGGGGTAGTGTGACTCAGGTACACTCCATTCCACACTCGGGATGTCTAAATTAAAGGAGTGCAAAAACCTGTGCGTACGGTTTGATATGTTTGTATTTCTTTGAATACATACTTCCACTTTTGTCCCTACACTGACTTTTATTGTGAAAGCGGTACACTACTTGATACATGAGGCCCCTGGGCTTTCGCAATTTGTTTGAAACACAATAATCTTACTTTATTTGGAGTGCGTATAAAAACAAAGTTATGTTTTTCCTCTGTGTGTTTTCTCACCAGGGGGACATTGGGAATGATTGCTTTGTTTTCTACGTGGACTCTCATGTGTCTTTTTAAATCACTGTTTGTGGTAAACCTATGATAACACATCCCACAAGAAAATGGCTTCAGTCCTGTGTGGACTATCATGTGTTTGTTTAAATTGCATTTTTTGGTAAACCTTCGACCACACAGTTCACAACAAAACGGCTTCTGTCCTGTGTGGGTTCTCATGTGTGTAGTTAAATGTACCTTTAGGGTAAACGTTCGCCCACACAGCTCACAACAAAATGGCTTCTGTCCTGTGTGGATTCTCGTGTGATTGTTTAAACTACTCTTTTTTGAAAACTTTCGCCCACACAGYTCACAACAAAATGGTTTCTGTCCTGTGTGGATTCTCAYGTGTGAGTTTAAATTGCTTTTATTGGTAAACTTTTGACCACACAGTTCACAACAAAATGGCCTCTCTCCTGTGTGGATTCTCATGTGAGCAACTAAATGTCCCTTTAAAGTAAACCTTTGCCCACAAAGATCACACCAAACTAGCTTCTTTCCATTTTTGTTCTTTTGTACACCTGATTCAAGACCCATATGGGGAGAAGGCTCACAGTCTGTAACAGTGTCTTCAGTTTTTGACCCAGAGTCTAAGTTTTTCARCTGAGAGTTAGGATTGTTCACAACATTGCCCTCTTCATCATCCTCACTGTCTTCAGTTTCTGAAGAGTCASAATCCTCTTCAKGAGTAGTCAGATCTGTGTTTCCGGTAGTTTCTGCTCTTCCACAGGACTCTCCAACAGTTGTTGATTCTGCGTTATCAGCTGAGCTGCTGGTTGGAAGAGCTTTGGCTTCAACTTTGTGTTGATGAAGCTGTAAGAAGAGAGGTTTATCTTCATCATCCTCATGCTTCAAAGGAACTGCAGTGACTAAAAATCTGGTGTCATCAGTCTCCTCCTTCACATTGAGCTGCTCTTCCCCCAGACTGATCCACATTTCCTCCTCTTCCTCTTTTATGTGGAGATGTTCTCTGTCCTGCTGGTCCACGTAAGGCTTCTGTTCTTCAGGATCTTCCTCTTTAATCAGCATCTGAGCWTCGGCAGGAACCCCTGAAACACATGAACAGAAYGTTAAAGGAGAASTATAGCTTTCTCATACRTCTCGTTTGACTGCTCAGGTCACAAACAGGTTTTAGCGATAAACTAGAGACACAGCTCACTTAGCACCAAACTGTTCTTTTCAAACACATATAGCTCTGGCTTTAGCGCACACACCCACACACACAAAAAACTAATAACAGAGCACAGAAACATTAGTGATGCGGAATGTGAAGGTAAGTCAGGTGTCGAGGATGACACCTAGACTTGACCTGAGGTCAGAAGGAAAGTATATAGGCTGTGTCTCAATTCATGGACTCCAACCGAGGAAAAAAGCTGGGTTTGCTCTCCAGAGAAGAACCCAGTTTGGCTTTTTAAGTCTGAGCCCATGAGCCAACTAGGGAAGACTTAACAGCCTGGGACGTGGCACGCCAGCCGGTCCCACACCGAGGCTTCAAGCCTCTAGAGTGTGTTTTTACCTCCCGTGGGGAGATTTTATTTTGGAAAGAAGGGACCGGATACAGCTGGAATTTTTCTGGCTTGGACTGAAACAGACGAAAGTTACCTGGAAAACACCTACTCGCCAACGACCAGTAAGAGAGCCGACATCCAGTTCCCTGACTGATCGGAGGCGAGCCAGCTCCTACCCCGAGGGTGCCTTAAGAAGTCATCACCAGGTAAAAGCTGATGTGTTCGGAGTGACGTGTCATGGCCTAAATAGAGTTCAGTTTGTGACAGAGTTCCTGTCCTCTCGTCAGGCCTGTCCAAGGCCTGCTTCGAGGCAGTAAATCTTGTTTCTTCACTCGAGGTGACCCCTACAGTCCTCATGAGGACCCAGCCTAGCTGGGCCATGTGGGCCATGTCCTCGCTGGGCCAGGTAGGCTGCTCAAAACTGCTGTGAAATGAGATGGTCTACCCTTCGCCTGATGTCAGCTTCACGTGAGTTTGCGTGACCACGTGCTCCCCCGTTACTATTGTGATCAGTTTCACGTCGGACTTAAAATGCGTCGGTACATGTATTTATACATCTTTTTACTGGAAGAATAACTTCACATTTAAAATGCTAAATGTAAAAAATAAAGAAAATGTTAATAATTTGGGTTTAGCTCCAGTAACTACAACGGAGTATTAGGGCCACACAGATTTTTTTAAATATTATTATTACAAAAATAAAGTCATAATATTATGAGAATAAAGTCATAATATTAT